ATTGCAGAGAAGAACCTTTTTGCAAAGAAACCCGCACTGGTTTTCAAACGAAGCCAGCAATCAAGCAATCGTTTACCAGTGTTATAACCCCAATCCCACTTGTTTGTGACCGAGGAATTTTTGAAAGTAGCCTATATGAGTTACAAATTCGCGCAAGTGACTTGTTTTCATCTGTGAATGTTAGGTTAGAAACTGAGTTTTGCAACATATAACATTACATTTGTATGGCATTTTTCAGCACTTTTCCGTTATCCGGACCCATTATCTTGGAAAAGGAATACTAGTGCTACCTGCAAATATTAGGTTGCTGCATAAGTTCTGTCCGAATTTTTGCTTTACGCTTGAAGCAGCTATTCTAAAGAGTTTCATCTCTAATGCGATATTGTTAGTATCATTTGAAAGTGCTTTTCTTGCTCTTTCTGAAGTACATCAAATTTCAATAGATTTCTCAGGTAAGTAGATTTCAGACCTAAAATCTCCAAGTGGCCGAGGTACGTTCTCGCCCTAGAAATATGTTCTTGCAAGAAAATCTCCACAATGCGCATTTCATGCCAGGTCCTTCCACCGGTTGCGTAATAAGGGTGAACCAGGCTAATATTAGGTCGTTTCGAAAGTAATGTCGCTTTTTTCGAATGAACGCCACTATCCGTGGAATCAACATTTTCAAGAGATCTTAGGAGCATTCGATGCAGCATTTCATCCTCTTTCTAGGGGTTCTAATATAACTGCATAATGTTCAATGAGCTCTCGAAAAATTACCAAAATCTGCAACTCATGCTTTTTGCCATGGTCAAGTTCGGCTATTTTTCTAAATTTTTGTACCTAATCTCCGAAAAAGTACAAGTGGCAGTTAGATAGAGCAAACACTATAGAAAACAGAGTAATTTTTTCTTTTCCTTAGCTTGCTTCTCAAAGCTTCTACAATCAATTTCTCAATGCCATCAAATTCCATATCTAGTCAAGTCAAACCTCATAGAACAAAAACCGGCAAGCGACTCGGGTGCCATTCGATGCAGCTTTTTCTCCTCTTTCTAGCGGTCGTTTTTTGTTTCCGATTCATCAAGTTTTCCGGGATAAAATCATCATAATTCAACTTTTCCAAGGCACTTCAAGGTGTACACGAAATTTTCGAAAGTTGCTAAATCGAAGCGGTGAATGTTCGTTTGGTTTGTAAAATTGCTGCCAAACCATAATCCATCTTTGTAAGTTTCAAAATCAGGAGACTTGTTGGCGTTTGATGCACTTGTGTCTGAGACGAGCCTGCTAAAATTCGGTGGTTCCATCAAAAAATCTGTACAAAATTATGACGAGCTCTGGAAAGTAGAAAAAAGTTGTGCTGTTTCCTGTAGGATTTGCTCCATCCATCCATTACTTGGGATCCTTCTGAGGTTTGTTATAAAATTTTAGAAAAATTGTGAAACTTGGCCATCTTAAAAAGCATAGGTCGCAGATTTTGACTCTTTTCTGGAAGCTCACAGACTGTATTGCAACAAATTCCATTAGAAAGAGCATAAAATGCTGCATCAAATGCTACCAGAGTCTCTTACAAATCTTTGTTCCACGGGATGTGGCATACGTTTGAAAAAAGCGACATTACTTTCGGAACGACCTAATTTATGCACAAGCTTAATTTCATGAAGAAAGCGTCTTGCTAGTAAAATCTATTGTCAAACATCAATTTTTTGTATAAATGTTTTACAAGCAATAATTTCCTGCGAATAAAAATAATCGATGAGTTCAATGTTGGAAGTGCTAGTGTAAAGGAAGAGCTAGCAGGGCCCATCCACCAATCCCTTTTCGACGCTCACATCAATTGTAAAATTTTCATAAGTCGTAAATAGGCATGCACACTGTGCTGGAGCAAGGTCAAAAGTGGCTACTTTTTTGCTCGGTCAAAAACATCTCTCGACAACGCAAACCCTATGGGCTCTTTTATGTTGCAAGATAATCTACGAAAATTTCTCTATCCATCCATTGTTAGATAAGATGCCTATCAATTCTCTTAAAGAAGCATTGCCATGTCAAAAAAGACAGGTTTGAAAAAAAACGCTGAGAAGTTTTTGAGTTTCTGCTTCTTCCTTAACAAAGATTTTTGCAAATGTTAAAATGTGTATAGCCAAGGAACTGCCCAACATACAAAAAACGAAAATTTTGCAAAAAAGATGATTTTGGAAAAAGTTATGATATTTCAAACTCAGAAAATTCAAATCGGACAGAACTTATGCAGCAGCCTAATATTTAGTTCCATCTTCAAGAAGTGTCAACTCCATGTCACGTGTTAAGAAAAATTGACGTGCCGTCTATATGTTCACCACTTTCAGCAAGAGTTTTATGTCGCCTAATGAAAATGTAAATTTATCCTGTGTTCTTATTAATTCCACCCCCTAGTTCAACAATTCTGAAAATGTGCACTAAAATTAATGATCATGTTCTAATATAGGAAGAATATTAACAAAAGTTGGCGACTGAAGACGAAATAGATTCCAAACGCTTTCCTTTTTGCAAAGCGACTTTGCGGAAGTTATGAGCGTTCGAATGTCCAAATTTGTCAAGCTGTAAATGGCCAAATTAGCGGAAAGCTGTATAGGAACTACTAAAGAGTAATCAATTTTTATTGAGTACTAGCTGGCTTACCCGGCTCCGCCGTATGTTCCGAATAGAAAATTCCATTTCTTAACCGATCCGGACCAAACTTGGCAGACATACACTTTGGGCCTCGGCGGGTGTCACAGTCCACTTTTTGTTATCGATCGATGTCGATTTTATCGATTTTTTGCAAAATTTGAGCTAGGGGGCTGGAATTTGGCAGAGGGGTGTAATCGAGCATGCTGATCACCCCCACGGGGGTGATCAGCAGGTTTGAGCGTGGGGTCAGGCGCGCCCGACCTAGGGGGTCGTATCAGGGGTGGAAGCGGGGGGGGGGGGGTCGTATTTGAAGGTAGGAGCAGGCGTGCAATCATGAGAGCCGATTCTTCTCCCACGTACACTGAGCTGGTGCAGAATGACAGCCTTCACTTTTGGATCTGGAAACTTTTCCCACCGAATGAAAACGTGATAAGGAAAAGAAGATAACACATCAGTAAAGGCATATTTTTGAGTGTTTCCGAAAATATTTTCATCATCTACTACGAGCACCAGGAGGACATCATCGCTTCGGACGAACTACGGCACCCCCGCGATCCTCGAAAATAAGGTTTTTTGATAGCTTCAGAAACTCTAACCGAGGCCCTCGTTAGGGCTAACAACTTAACCATCCGGCCCTCCTGAGAGCCGCTAACATCATGAATACAACTGCATTTCCGAAAGAAGCTGTTCTAATAAATTGTGAGACTAGGTCAGTCGAGGAGGTTACCGAAAATTCCAGAGATTAAATAGTAAAAATTATCAGAATTGCACTGATTTGAATATTGCTAGCAAAAAACCTGTCACTGACTCGTTTCAGTGTAAGTAATGTTACAATAGATAGTGAAAAATTTGCGTTGATATAGAAGTCCAGCCGGAAATTAGAATTTTGGAAGTTGAAGCTGCGTAAATCGGCCAAAATTCCAACTCGTTCAAAATTCGTATATAGAAGTAACAACTGATGAAAGGCAATAGTTAGAAAATAAGTACTGCTTTAACAAATAGCAAAAGAAGAAGTCGATTTAGGAGCTCTTCGCCGAAAATCAAGCATTTAAAACTAAGATGGCAGCATTTCCAAATGCTTGATTCTCGACGGTGACTGAACCGACGCACAATGGAGACGAGGAGAAAGAGGGGCTGGGCAAACAGGGAGTCTATTCAGAAAGAACTATTTGATTTGGAGTCTATAGAACTTCTCAGTTAGGTGTAAAGCGTTTCGCTAGCTAATAGCGCGTACCGTATACCTAACGTAACCTTACCAAAAAGGTCATACCAAACGAAGTGAATGCTATTTTGTAATCACCATGCAAAATAGCCTTTGCGATTCCCTTATATGATTTCCTGCAACAGTTTACTATTTTTTCGAATGTCTGATAAGCGCCATTTTCAAACATAATTAACTTGGTTTTAGTGATCAAAAACATCAACCTTTTTACATCAGTTACAAAATAGTACCCTTTCCTAACACACCCTAGCAATTTCACCTTATATCACTCTCAAGTGATAAATTTGCAAGCCCTTCAGAATTCCGACAGTCGCTCTTTTTACTCAAAGTAAGTTTACTCCATGAACTCCAGGAAAGTCGAACAGGACGAATCAGCTACAGGCACCTAATGCGTGATTTAGGTTTGTACTAATGAATCACATAAGATTTATCAGAAAAAACTTTCTTTGAAATGAAGTTAATGGGGTCAGGCGCAACCCCTCAAAAGCTCAGGCCGCCTGAGCTTTTGAAGGGTTGCGCCTGACCCTATTAACTTACCTTTGAACAACTCAAATTTTCCCGCTCTTTACCTCAAACTTTTGGGTAAACCTTTCTCTCCGCGCAGTATAAGTTCCGTTAGATATCTTCACCCCTCGCAAAAGTTATCGATGTTTCATCCTACCTATCCGCTGGAAAGAAGCGTGGATAATCCTTACTTAATTTCGTCTTACTGTAGAAGCAAAGTTCATGCGGATCGCTAAACGCGGAACTTCACGCGGAAAACTTCATTTTTCGAGCGTTCCTTCATTCTCTTGTCGTCGCCATAAGTCTAACGATGATGATATTTGCCAGTATGTTGAAATTCTGATTTCAATCCATTTTAGAAGTGTTTTACATCTCTATGTTCCAATGATATTCATCTTGCGTTCTTAATTTCATGTTTGTGTACCGTGTGCTGGAGATTTTTTTTGTCTAAGTGACTGAGGAGATCCTATTCCTTTTGCTCATTCGAACACTGGACCAGGTATATGTCAGATTAGTTTGTTTCAATGTCCTTTTGCATTATTGTCGTGAACAATGGATAAAAATGCAAGATATTAGAAGCCATTGCCATAGCCATTGTCGCCTTCGCTTTCTTTTTTCACCCTTTGAATGTCAAACAAGGATTCTTCAGGCTAACAGAAGCTGTAGTTGCAAAAGTGCCATGATATGAGTGAGCAAACTGCTCGGTATCTATGGAAGGAAAACATCGGCCTCCGAAATTCTGCGCTATCTGTCATCTATACTTCAAGTATGCTTTAGTATCTTTTACGCTTGTATTCTTAGCCTGCGAGCCCTTATCTGCTCGCCATGCTTACTTCAGGAGAAATGGCACTCATCGAAATGTGGTGGGGAAGTTGTTTGAGGACGATGAGAAGATAGTGAAGCGGTGGGTAGAGTTGGAAAGAGGCAATAAGCGCGTATCGTCTAGCGATGAGGTTTGTTTAGTCTATGTTATATACATTTTTTGCGACCAGAAGCTAGACCTTGTTTAATTTTTTTCTTTTGGGTTTGTTCCGTAAGTGCATAATTCAAGTAACTTTCTACTAGTTTTTGTCATGATCATTCCACATGCGTTTTTGTTTATCTGCTATTGCAATACGGTGTCTCAACCTGGCTTTACTAGTCTGTAATAATAAGGCGCCCTATTTTTGAGCTCCTATCTTGGTGTAGGTTTAACGATAGGTCTGGTAGGTCTCAAAAGTGAAAATTTGATGAATGATCTAATCGTTTAGTCATAAACGAGGTCCTAGTTGGTTTCACTGTATAAGCTATATTCACTTATAGTTGATGCCATAGCCCCCTTTTCAACTTGCTTACCATGATAATCTCAGCTTTATCTCATGATGCTAAGCTTCCTGCAAATTCTTCCAGATTTGTGCGGCCTAACATCATTGCGGAACGCATATCAGGTTCTTTAAAAGCTCATATCAATGGATTTCGGTATGCGAGTGATTATGCGTGCTCTTATTAGTGCCGAAAACCTCGCTGTTACAGATACTCTTCTTTGATGGCAACAGAATTGATGTCCTATACAACAACATCAAACTTGCGTTCTTCCAACCATGTGATAACGAGATGATCATTTTGTTGCACTTCAATTTGAAGCATCCGGTGCTTTGGGGTAAAAAAAATACAAGTGAGTTTCATTGGTGCTGTTTTAGTGCTTGTTTCTAATCTAATAAGGCTTTATACCTATTCGTTGCATTGAATCCTCCATCGATACTTGCTTTCATGTTTTTTTCTCCACATAGCTACAGTTGGTGTCAATCACGCACTCCCTTTTCCATAGGAGCAGCGTGTCCGCGACGCGAGAGCCAGGCGTGCAGACCTTCAGTCGATGACGCCAGTTTGAATGCTCAGGTTGAACGCGCGCGACCGTGGCACGCAGCTCTGACGTAGCGATAGCGTCGACGAAGAAGGGAGTACGTGATTGACACAGACTGTAGTAGTCTTTGATTACAAATGCAACCATTCAGTAATCAACGCGCAGAAGCTATTCAACGTTTTAGTAGCATCCATTGTTTGTACGCTTCTATATCCAGTCGGTAGTTTCTCATAGATTTTCTTGTTCAGAACCATTTCTTCAACGTCGTAAGGTCAAAGGACCAGGTCTGCGAAGACTGCAAAACGATGAGCCTCCAATGAAGATGCAAGGACCAACCCTGCGAAGACTCAAAGGGATGAGCCTCCGATACCCGAAGAGTTATTTAGTAAATTGTTTTCTTTGAATAAAGAGGTATGGCTATGAAACTTGCTGTGACTCTGTTTTTCCTTTTCGTGTTACTTTTTTACATATCTTTTTTTGGAATAATCATATTTCTTTAGTCCAATCCTCAATATAATGTGCTTGCACTGTATTAGCTGAAATGCGGTAAAATTTGCTCGTGAACAAATAGGTGCGACTGTGACGCCGGCCGAGCTCGCGCAAAAGGCTGGCATTGCTGTCGTGGGTACTTGTTTACGCGTCTATTTTACCCCATTTCACCTTCAGTGAAATGTGGTAAAATCTGTGGATAGGTTCACAACAAGCACACTATATTTAGCGGAAAATCTACTCAACTGTTTCTTCTCGTATTGTCATTTTTGGATCACGATATCGTATCCTAATTTATGTCTAAACAATTGTAACCTTGTCTCGAGGCTTTTCGAGACGTCTCGAGACGAGACCCTTGCCGAGAAAAGCCCAAAAGCGTTCGAAGAAGCCCAAAAAAGCCCGAAAGAGCCGAACGCAGAGACGAAATTATGGTCGAATTCTGACGTTATTTTTATGTGCAGACATCAGAAAATGAAGCAAAAAGATTCGGTTGCGAAATCAACATTATGCGTTAGCACCAAAATGGGAGGGGGCGTTCCTGCTCTTTTTGGCGCTTTTGGGCTTTTTTCGACTTTTTTCGGCTTTTTCGGGTTTTTTGGGCTTTTTCGGGTTTTTTGGGCTTTTTCGGCGAAGTATGACGGTCCGTTACACAGAAGAAACCTGCAGAGCTTGGGAGGGGGGGGGGGGTCGTAACTAACACGACCATGGTGGGGGGGGGGGTCGTTTTCGGCCGGGCTGCGCCTGACCCCTTGCTCAACCCTGGTGATCAGCATGCTCGATTACCCCCCCCCCCTGTGCCAACTCCCAGCCCTGTAGCTCCAATTTTCCAAAAAATCGATAAAATCGATATCGATCGATGACGAAAAGTAGCCTATGACACCCGCCGGGGCGCAAAGTGTATGTGTACCAAGTTTGGTCCCGATCGGTTCCGAAATGGAATTTTCTATTCGGAACATACGTACATACATACAGACAGACATACAGACATACGAACAGACATTCAGCTTTATATATAAGATATATTGATTACGAGGAAGGAATGTAACCTGTGGAAGTCCGCATACTTCTATTTCAGAGCTTTCTGAATTTGAGTCTTTTAATGCTTGACAGGGGGGAGTAACGCAGTGGTATGAGGCGTCGCTATGACGAGATCGGAGCTAAGTTCGATCCCATCTCTAGGCCAACCAAGACTTCTATTCTCGAGGGCCGAGAAATTGGTAGCAGAGTAATCTGGGAGGATAAAACGCTGACTTGATAATCGGCTGGCGCGCAAGTCGCTGTAATAAGTTAGCACGCAATCAGTTTCTTCTTCAACTGTGATGTAGTGCGTTCGGCACATGCCCGCAGAGGGTTTGAAGACGAAAACCTTAATTCTTCATCCTTCACCTTTGAATGCTTGACAAATTTGGACATTTAGAAGCTCATGCTTTCGGGCACTTAGGGAGTTATTCTACGCAAAGGGAAAGCAGATCTGGAAACAACGTTTGAGACGAGTCTCGTGATATACATAACTCGTTTAAACGCCAACTTATGTTGGTATGCTTTCCTTTATAAGGTGAAAGTCTAGTTGCATAAAGAAACGAGTATCAGGGTTCTAGCATTTGCTTGATGATTTATCAGCAGCTGGATACTTCTCGCCATCACTTCGGCTCTCTCCTGGCTGAATTCGCACTACGAGAGCAGTGCGAATTGAGGAGGAGGAGGAATTTTCAAAATTTTTTTTTGCTTGAGGAGCAATTTTCAAATCAGCTGAAGGCATTTGCGATGCTCTAGATATTTTAGGCTGCCTTGCTTCTATAAAACAGCTGTACACCTTTTGAGCCATCCAAAACGCTTTTCATCTCAACGGAAGTGATTCAGAACATATGAAACTTTATGGGTGTTGATGTTGCAGGTGGCATTTAGACAGTTACCCAGGAACTTATGAAGATTTTTTCTAAACTAAAGTTTCATGAAGACTTCTCGAATAAATGGGTTTGGAGCAAAAGTGTACGCATTCTTTTCGCTTAAACTTCAATACAGAGTAAACAAACACGCACAGATTATTTGTAGTTGGATAACGGCATAGAAGGAAATTACATATTTTTCAATCTAGCAAAAGCAAGAGTTTACGGCTTTGAAAGAAAGATGAAGCTTCGCACAATTTAAATCAAATGGCGTCGAAACTGCCGATAAAGTGCTTGCAAACGCTTAGATCTAAGCTGGAGGCGAAGAAAAATTGCTGAGCAAAACGAAATCAACTGGCGCCTTTGAGAATTAGAGACGAAAGCGCTGACGATTCTCAAAAATCCGTTAATGACAAAAAGGCCATCAGACTTTGATATTTAGAATTTGAGGTCAAACCGTTCTTAAGGTAAATGTATGGATAACTTTGAAACTTTTACATCAAACTGAAATCAAAATTTGGACAGCTCTGCAAAAAAAGCCTGTTCTGCTTTTCAACTGCTACATTCTCTTATAATTCTTCTTCGATCTTGCCAAATTATTGCCTAACTCTGTAACTTTATTTAGTGCGACTTGGGTTATCATTATCATCATTTCATCATCATTCGGCAAAGCAAAGCAAGTTTTACAAGATGGCTACCAATCGTCGGAGGGCAAGCGTTAGGCGACAAAACATGCAAAACGCAAGCAACCTAAATCCCGTAACTTAAAACTATGCACCATTTTTTCATTGGCGTCGGGTAATGTATCGGCTCCGAGCCCCACCTCCCTGTTTTTGGCGGAGGAGAAGTTTTGCACGGGGAGTTCTATGGGGTCGAAAGATTGGGTTTGTCGCCTAACGCCCTACACCCCCAATCGTCCGCTCAAACCATATTCCACCTCAAATGCTGAATTCTGCATCGGTAATAACCTGGTCGAAACTCCGATGAAAGCTGTGCCTTAAAGGCAGCGTCCGGGCAGAATTTCGCCTCTCATGTTTCTGCCATTCCGGGGCCTTTCCGTGGCTCTGATTACAGTTGTGAAGTCCAAATTGTTCAAAGCCCCCAAAAAAACCGATTGGGGACCCCCTCTTCAAGGAGCGGACGATTTTCGGATTGTTCGTTCCCATCGCATGCTAGCTTGAGGAGCTGCACTGCACGGATGCACTTGCACTGGGGTATAGGACGATTCGCACGACCGTAATGGTTTCCACACAGGACCACCGCCGCGCGCGACACACCCTGCGGCGGCTTTTGCCTAAGCAAAACAGGGGGAGGAAAGATTTGCGGCGTGCATTACACGTTAAGACGAGTCAAAATCAGGGAAACGTTGGAGACCGCCCGTGCGAAAAAACCGTCTCCCCTTGCACTGCAATGTGCAGTGCAACTGCAATGCAACTGCCTGCGTGCGCACTCGTCCTCGGGGGTGGTTTGTGATACGAAGGGGCGGTTTGTGACACGTATCACAAGCCCATGTCTACTTTCAAAGGAACGCAGGTCGGATACTCCTGGGTCGCTCTTTACAACTATGCGCTAATCTGGGTGGATGAATCTTGCTTGGACGCTGCCTTTAACTCTGAATTTCGTTTCGAAACTCAGTGTTTAGGCGAGATAACTGCGAGTTTCGATTCTCAAACGTTCTGCTACTTCAGGAGCCGCTATAGATGTCAAGGAGCCGCTTTACGCATCATCGCAAAGCACTTCGAGTGAGCTGTCACTTGAACTTCACTTTCTCGGCGCACGCACGACTCTAGACCACTTGGCCAGGGAGCCACTTTTTGTGTATTTGCCGCTATAAATTTATGAACCCCACAATCAAATCTCACATGTCAAGACACATTGAGAGGCGTTAGGTTTGCCTATGAGGTGGCTGGACAAAGTATCTCACAGATTAGGTAGTAGCAAGATGACATGGGCATAAACCGTAGTCCTACAACCCGCCCCCTTCCCCTCCCTTATTTGATATGTCATACTTGATAGAAATTAAAAGTCTTTCCTAATATTCATTTTGAATGACCTGTATTTAAAATTTGCAATTTCAAATATTCAACCAGAATTAGGATAATCGACTTCTAAACAATAATCAAAGCTACAGATCCTTTGAAAATTGTCAAGATCTCTGATTAACTTGACAATTTTACAATGATTGTGGTTTTCCTGTTAGC